CGGTAAGTGCCCGCTTGACAGTGAGTTTTGGAGTGATTTCCTACGGTCGTCAAAGGAGAGGGCGGCGGTTGTGCGGATTGTCGCTGCGGTGTTGGCACATCGTGAGTTTAGTAAGGCTGCTCTCGCGACGCACAAACAAGACTTTTACGTCAGCAGTGGGAGCTCCAAGGGAATCCAGGGAGGCGTATGATGCAGTATGATGCAGTGCTGTACTCCAGGGGCTTGTGCATCGGTATTACAGTTATGTACTTTACTGTATTGCAACGAAAGCCGTACCCTTCCCCTGGTACCCTTCGAAGGGTACCGCAGGACGATACGACTACAGTACCCTCGCGGAGGGCACGTACGGTATCCTGCCTTAACGTTCCCCCAAAGTGGAGTCATGTGCCGAGTGGGCAGCTGGACTTGCTGGACACCGTCGCAGCGTGAACCGGTCTGTGAGCTTGGATGGACAAGACAGAAAGCTCGCCCACATGCAAAGTGACGCGCGACTGTCTCAAGCCATACAGTGCCGTGCCGCTGGCAGAGACGGCGTACAAGTAGGTCGCTGAGAGACCCTAACAGAGGGGCGGCCGAGCAATGAAGCACGGATGCGGACGTGTCCCCCCCACTCCAGGCACATGACACCAGACACATCCTCCTTCTAACCTAGCTCCCCATCCCTCGCCGCGATGGCATCCCTGTCGCCCGTCCTTCACAGCAAGTGCACTCCCACTGTGCTTCTGGCGCTATGCAATGGCGTCATCTGCCTCTGCATTGCAAGCCATACGGGGCCGGGTGGGCGGCGTGGCTCGCCGGGGGCTCGGATGTATGCGGGGACAGGGCCCGCCGCTGCGGGGGACAGATGTGGGACTTCGTCCCAGAAAAACAAAGGAAATAAATTAAACATTTCGGTGCTGTACTGTAATGATTGTTAATGAACTGTGCAATGGTAAAACTGGGGGTGGGTGAAGGGAGGAATGCCGATTTTGTATTTATACGAAGAGGCAGGCGTGCAGAGTCATGATTCACCCACACCTCACGTGTACACCAAGTACACGAGTGCCAGAGATCACACCCTCTTGCAGTTTCGATCCTTCGCCATCTCCTTCACATGTTCACGGACACCGACGCAGCGTTCCTGTCACCACACTGGAAACGGGACTTGCATTGCTTCACCGCGTGAAGCTCCAGGAGAGTTGCAGTGGTACACAACACACTTTTTCTATTCCCTCCTTCCAAACTTGAACAAACAAAAACAAAACTCACCTCTTTATCTGTTTTAGTCCTAACCGACTACACCATTCCGCGCGCCCTACATTTCACTGAAACCTACACTCTCCAGCATCAAATCACATCTCATCCATGACATCGATGAATGCCGAACAACTCATGAAACGTCGGAGAAGATTTGTTATTCTCAGACTGACTGTAGCGACCATCAACGTCAATTGCACCTCAGCCTTCGACATTCTTGCTATTCGCGATGTAGCAGGTACAGTGATAGCCATTTTTTAAATGTAGTAGGCGCTTGAGATTGTTACGCTGACGTTTTGCTGCAGCTTCTCCTCCGGAACGCACGGAGGCGACCTTGCTTATCGACGGACGCACGGAGGTGACCGATCTTCTGCTTCAGACACGCGGCGGTGTCCTCTTCAAAGTCTTCTGATTATCCGGATGCAGCAGTTTTCCGACGCACGGCGGCATCGTCTCCGACGGATGCGTGCTGCAAATGCGAGCGAGCGGTATAGAGAATTCTGAAGAAAAGCATAGATCCATGTCTTTACTTTGATCAGATCGCAGTTCCGTTATGTTTGCCAGCAGCTTGCGAGGCGGAGCTGCTCAGCCAGTATCTAACTATCTAACTGGAGACTGTTGTTGTTGACGCAAGCTGCGATACAGAAGGAGAGACACTACAATCATTTTGGCTACAGAATGGGGTGCTCTCTCCACATGCTAACACGAAAGAGTAATCACTTTTCGCCTGAGCCAAGCAAGGACGAGGTACTCACAGCAGGAGGTGCTACCATCACAATAAGATGTAGTAAGCAAGGAGGAGTTGATCGGTTCTATGTTTGCTGTACCCATTATCTGTCATGAGAGCCATACGTGCACACATAGCACACGCATGACAGCGCAATTAGATCATCTCTATTCACCGCCGTAACGCAAAACAACCCACGCAGTTTCCCCACTCGCGTTCGCGTGTTTATAAAATATATGGCTTGACGTAGGCGGCACGCTACGGGGACAGGGAGATCAGAGACAGAGGCGGCAGGAAAGTTGTCGGCGGTGTCAGAGGTGTGCGGATCAGTCATTGTGGGGACATTGTACGCAGAGCGCTTATCGAACTCGTCCCCGACGGTGGGTGGGTGGGGCGCGTCTGGAAAGGGTATTCCGGGACGCGTAGGCGAGGGACGGCATGCGATTATAGGTAATCCCGACGTGTAGCGGGAGTGGCTCCAGGTGGGGAACATGGCGCCGTTGCCGTGCGTGTGGCCGGCGAGTAAAGTGACGGCCTGCATGGAAGGCATGCCCCCCCCTGGAGCCTCTCGGCCGCCAGCCAAGAAGACGGCGCCCCGGGTGTGCGGCCGCCCGGCGGGAGCGCGCGATCAAAACGCGCGCGCGGCCACCTGTTGCGCCCGGCGGCCTCCCCGCCCGACTTCTGCAGATACAAGTCGCATTTCAGCTTATCTGGGCCCCCGTCCGCCGCGCGCAACCGCGCCACCTTTCCACGTTCCTACGTCGCCACGCCCCACGCGGGGCGCGGCCGGTCGCAGTCGCTGAGGTGCGGGCGGATGGCACGTGCCAGCAGGGTAGCGCGAATCGCGCAGCAGTGCGTCTTCTGAGCCGCACATAGCACCGCTGCATGAAGCCCGCAAACGCTTCCCGTTCAAACCACGCGCGACTCGCAGCGCAAACACCACGCCGCCCTACTTTCGGCTCATGCGCAGCGATGCGCGCATCCCTTTCAAAGTGCGCGCGTCCCCGCCGCCGCCCCGCACGCCCGAGGCGCGGGCGTCCGGATGCGCGCCGCCGCCGCCGTTGCGCGCGCCCTAACCTCGATGCGCCGTGGCACCCTCCCCCAGCTCCCCCCCGTCCTCTTCCTTGCGTGGGCCCGCCGCGTTCTATTTTCGTGGCGGATGCTTCCCGGCCGCGACTCTACTTGCTCGCGCGCGCGCGGGCGTGGCGCATAAAAGTCGGGGCCGCGGCGCGCCGCAATCTGCGGCAACCTTCCCCCCCCCCCTCCCCCCGGAACTGGCAGCGCGCGAGGATGAGCAGCGGCGGCAGCAGCGGGACGGAGAGCCGGGGCGCGGTGTTGTCGCCGCTGGCGGAGCGCGGCGGCGTCGGGGCGGCAGGGCAGCGGGGCGCGGGCTAGGCGCGATGTCGCCGTTTTCGGAGGAGTTCCGGCTGCTGCTGGCGGCGATGGAGGCGCCGGCGGTGGGGTGGGGCGCGGCGGCTGACGAGGGCGGCGGGGAGGGCTCTGATGGTGGGACAGGGGGTGGGCCGGCGGCGCGGAACCGGGCGAGGGAGAGGCAGAGCCGCGAGAGGAGAAGGTGCGGGAGGTGTTGGGGATATCGCTACTAGCCCTTTTTAATTAACGAAAATCGCAACTAAATATGCGAATATTTAGGAAAGTGCGCGAAATCCTGTTTCAATTAGCCTAGTAATTAAAAGACGCTACTAATACTACTAGGGTCGTAATTATGTAATTAAAAGACGTAATTAAGTAATTAGGGTAGTTTAGTAGCGTCTTTAATTAAGCGATGTTTGGGTGTTTGTGCACATCCCTCTCCACCTGTCTCCTGGCCAGGGGGCACTCGGGGAGGGGAAGACGGCGTGGATGCCAGAGGTGGAGCGTGAGAACAAGCGGCTTGTGCGGCGGACGAGCAGCGGACGAGCAGCGGACGAGCAGCGGGAACGAGGGCGTGGAAGGAGCATTTCTTGCGCCCCTTGTGAATTACAGTAACAGCGAGGATAGTTTTCTGCGGAAACGTGTACACGCGTTCCAGCAGAGTTGCAGCTGCCACGGTTGAGTCGAGAAACTCATACAACCTCTTTACTTCGTCCTCTCTACTCGGACAGCCTATCGTGGTCGGTCTCTCCCTGGGGGCCGCTTGTTTCACCTCTGCCGGCCACGACACTTTCCCTTTTGCCCAGTGGTGATCTCCCACATGTTTACCGATGCCCCCTGCAGAGACGTTGTTCCTAATTGGATTAAGTGACGAGGCCGACGTTCCGTAAAGGGAGAGGGAAGGACGTTGTCGGATGGCAGAGACTTGGCAGGTCGCTGCTTGGCACGAAGGAGGCGGGGCACCAAGGAGGAGGGGCACCAAGGAGGAGGGGCACCAAGGAGGAGGGGCACCAAGGAGGAGGGGAATGGCAGGGGAACAATGTCTGTGCGTCGTGAATGAGACGGAAGCTCAAATTTATGGTAAAAAAATGTCCTAGTTGACATTTTGCAAATTCAATTTTGCAAATTCAATTCAAGATACTTGTCATAATCTGTAGTTATTTCTATAGTACAGTATTTTCTATCCTATGGAAATGTTCGGGACCCCAGTTTACAGTACCATAAAATTTATGGTAAACTTGAAGAAAAAAGTTGGCCTCGTTTGCCATTATTCTTCTCATACGTGTGGACCTGTGCATGTACCCATCGCCTCTTAACAGTGAGATTGGCCCCCCGCCTTGACCCGGTCTGCAACGCCTCTGAACACACCGTTGATGCATGAACATCTTTACTCGCACGCAACTGACGCATCAGATGGCCAGGTGCCTGCACATTAGTTTTGTTTACTGCACAAGATATTATATTGAGCACAAGAGCGCACGATGAAGGGAAGCAGGTCGGTACTTCATACATACACATACATGGACTGCAACCTCCATCAAGCAAGCTTTCCAGGCATTCATAACAAAAACAAAACCCTCCCCACTACTACTACTACTACTACAGCGCACAGTTGCAACGCATTTCTAATGTCTCGGGCGGCAAGCGTTTAAATGGCTTCTGCAATTTAGACCACTAGCTTCATGATAGCAACCAGACGACTCGACCCTCCGACTGCGACCCCATGATCCTGGTCTATCTGCAAGTCTACTGGATCGTCCAACTGGGCCAAGACAGCCTCAGACCCATCCTTTCGCCGTTGCACAATTCCTCCCTCCCTTGAAAATAGTCCCGCTCTTGAAAATATTTCTGATGTTCGTCCGGTGCGAGAACCAGTACCCAAGTCTGCCGTCCTCAGGAACTGACTCGCGATTTCTTCCCAATCTTCTTCCCTCCCGGTATGAAGTGTGATCCCTCTCTCCACGTCCCACACCCGCACGCTCTTGTCCTCCGATCCAGATACCACACGTCTTCCGTCCTCACTTATCGCAACGCTAACCACCGCATACGTGTGTCCAACTAACGCGTCCCCGATTTGTGCTCCCGTCTCCACGTCCCACACCCGCACGCTCTTGTCCGCCGATCCAGATACCACACGCCTTCCGTCCCCACTCATGGCAACGCTATGCACCCCATGCGTGTGTCCGACTAGCGCGTCCCCGACTTGTGTTCCCGTCTCCACGTCCCACACCCGCATGCTCTTGTCTCGGGATCCAGATACCACATGTCTTCCGTCCCCACTCATCGCAACGCTAGACACATAACTCGTGTGTCCGACTAACGCGTCCCCGACTTGTGTTCCCGTCTCCACGTCCCACACCCGCATGCTCTTGTCCCGGGATCCAGATACCACACGTCTTCCGTCCCCACTCATCGCAACGCTAGACACATAACTCGTGTGTCCGACTAACGCGTCCCCGACTTGTGTTCCCGTCTCCACGTCCCACACCCGCATGCTCTTGTCCCGGGATCCAGATACCACATGTCTTCCGTCCCCACTCATCGCAACGCTCCACACCCACCCCGTGTGTCCAACTAACGCGTCCCCGACTTGTGCTCCCGTCTCCACGTCCCACACCCGCACACTCTTGTCCATCGATCCAGATACCACACGTCTTCCGTCCCCACTTATCGCAACGCTAACCACCACATCCGTGTGTCCAACTAACGCGTGCCCGACTTGTGCTCCTGTCTCCACGTCCCATACCCGCACGCTCTTGTCCCGGGATCCAGATACCACACGTCTTCCGTCCCCACTCATCCTAACGCAAACCACTCGCGACCTGTGACCGCGGAAACTTCTTAATACTTTCCTCTCCGACGTACTCCACAGCCTTAACGTCCCGTCATCATATCCCACCACAGCATACCCCTTCCTCTCACAGAAAGTTGCGCAGGTAGTTTTCGTCACGCTCCATTTTTTTCCAGTCACATCGGTCACTTCGGAGGTTACACTTCCAATGCACATCCGAAAACATGCCCTCAAACGCGCACCCCTTTTGTGCCCGCTTGCTTCAAGGTCCCCTGCGTCCTGGCTCTCCGTTTCGAACTCGCCTTCTAATCGAACCATCTTCGTCTCCTTCTCAGCAGATTGCGTGAAAACTGTTACTTCGGCCCCGGACTTGTCCACCTGACATCCATACATTTCACCACTGGAATCTATGCCCACTTGAATTTCGTGCGCACCGTAATATGGCAGAACAATATGGTCCACCAACCTTCCACCGGCTCGCGATACACACTCATTCACAGGCCGCACCCACGGCCGCGGTGCATATCTCTCGATTTCCTCCAGCATCTTTTGCACACAACTTGAATCCCGTGCCTTGTGCTTCACTCGTCCATATAGTTGAAAGTAAATCCCAGCACTACTTTCACCGCAAAACGGTACACTCAGTCGCGCAGCCCGCATCATCAAAACCATTGCATCCACTGCATCCTCATCTACCGGTCCCATTCCCACCTTCCCGCTTCCTCTTTTCCGCTTCAACTCTCTACTCAATCCCTTCACAGCTTCCTCGTATTGCCAAACCCCGCCTCTCTGTATCACTGTCTTCACCCATCGCGCACTCAAAAATAGTCTCTTCAGCTCCTCTACACACCCACCCTGTCTCAGAACACGATATATGTTCTCGAAAACATACTCCCCCCGTGCGCTCTTGCCCTCTCCGTCTCGGCCCTCACTCATTTCAAGCAACCCTCCTCCTGCCCTGCATACATCCGCCATCTTCTTACACCACTCTTCTACACCCTCCTTCTTCTTCGCTTCTTGCACCGCGAAATCGTGAGTCAGATCATGCACCCGCAACCCACCACAACCCTTCTCATACTGCAGTTCCACTAATCCAACCCTTTCCATCTCCTTTGCACACCATTCCGTCCTCTCGTCGTCCATCTCCCACAAATCTCTAACCAAACTCAAAGGTATCCGGTCTTGCTTCTTCATAACGCACAGACTCCGGTGCATCTTTCGAAACGAAAAATCATCAACCGTCTCCCCACCGTTTCCTATATCCGATTCCAGGATATCTAGTGACGTATGCAATGTCCCATCCAACGACGAATATCCGTCCTTCGGACTCTCCCCGCGAATCGTGTTACGACTCTTCATCCTCGAAAGGTACGCCCCCCATGCTTCTGACACTTCTCCCTCCCATCTTTCCCTCATGTACCTCACACTCGTTCCCGCCACGTTCAGCGCAAGCGGCAATCCGCCACACATTTCCAGTATTTCACCCACGGCCTCTTTGCATCTCGCATCATCCACTTCGTCTCGATTCGCCTCACTCGCGTGCACAAGCATGTCAACTGCTTCTTTCCCTTCCGTCTCCCTCGGCTCGAAAGCAACCCGCTCCCCGATCTGACGCAGCTCCCTATCCCTCGTAGAGTACAGTAGTCTGCTCCTCCTTTCCCCGCTGCCCCCCGCAGTGTCAGCCAGAACAGACAACTTTTGAAGGATGTTCGCGTCTATATCATTCACCACCCACACATCATCAATGATAAACAGACATACATGACTACCAAACCATGCGTGTACTTTCGTTAACACCCTTCCAAACTCGCTCTGCCCTCGCATTTCCGCAGCCGTCTGGTTCCCACCGGACGCTTCCACAATCACACACAGTTCTTCAATCAGTCGTCCCACGTTTCCGTCTTTCCCCAACGACATGAAGTACACTCCTCCCGAAAACTCTGCCTTAATCTCAACGTCGTGTGCGATCGCTCGTAGAGCGCATGTCTTCCCGACTCCGCCCTGTCCCACTGCTGTCGCACCTACTTGCATGTTCCTGTCTCTCCGTAGCACAGCTGCTTTCAGACGCGACTCACACGTGTTGGGTAATCCATCGCTTCCCCGAGAATCAAGCTTCACGTATATCGACGCAGAATTATGTTCGGCTCTTATTGACGCCCTGAACATATCACCCGTGCCTGGCCTGGTCGACTCGACGGCCGCGCGAGTCGCGCGAATATCGATGCCCGCGCTTGCTTTTAGAATACGATCGTGAAGGCGGCCCGCTTCTTGCTTGCGCTTCTCTAGTACTCCTCTATCTCCCACTGCAGAGGCGTACGCACCGAGTCTCACTTTTGGGTTGTCCAACTCTGTCTGCAGCTCTTCGAGGGACTTCAATATGAAGCTTGAGATGTCCTCGATTTCATGTTGGAGCAAGCCCATGTGCTGCGATGACGTTCCATGGATCGGCATGTCTTTCAGCTCCATGATTTGTGTCCGCAAGGTGGTGTAGGCGGTGAGCATTTCGGCAGAGAGCGTTTTGTTTTCCTGGTAGGCTTTGTGTCGTTCGATGAGACTTTTGATGAGGCGGACGGCTTGCTCAGCCGGGCTGATGAGGCCCAATATACTGTACGGATCAGCCATGGTGTTCGGAGTTAGGGGGTGTTGTTTGGATTGAATACGCGGCGGTGGCAAAGCGGCGCTTACTCTTCTCTGTATCTCCCTCCGAATCTCTTTCTCTCTTGTCGTTGTTAGTCGTTCTTGAATCGTTGGGCGTTGTTTTTCGTTCTTGGTCTTCTCGCAGAGGGGGCGGGAAAGGCTTGCTTCCACCCTGGATGTTGCGAATAAATGCGGTACATTCAGTGGGCCACAGCTATTTTAGGTCAAGTGCCCGCTTGACAGTGAGTTTTGGAGTGATTTCTAACAGTACGGTCGTCACAGAAAAGGGCGGCGGTTGTGCGGATTGTTGCTGCGGTGTTGGCACATCGTGAGTTTAGTAAGGCTGCTCTCTCTCTCCCTACTCTGTTCATAAATGCCCCCACTGAGAGCACCCCTATCGGTGCTGTGTATATGTAAATGTTTTGCATATCCAGATACATATAACCTCTTTTATCCCTATCGGAATGGTTATCTCCAAAAATTTGGCCTTTTTGGCTATATCTATCTCTATATTAGAAGCCGGATGGCGACAAATTTACTCATTTGACCATATAGAGACGCGAATTACATGGCGCCACTTGGCCAAAAGACCATAGAACAGTGTCAATACAGGGGTTTCCGGGAATAGCCAATATTTGAAACATTTAGTCGCGAAGTTCAAAAGCTTGCCCGTATGTAAGTAGTTAGAGGGGCAGCTTGGTACAGTATGTTGGCTGAACTTGAGGGCTACAGCTGGTAGGCAGGCGCCTTGGTTTGCTTTTATCAGATGCTGTGTTAGTGCTGTGCGTGTGCCCTGCCTCAATACGGATGGGCGAGGGAGTTCTGCTTAAATGCACTGCTAAAAGGTTCATGAAAGAACAAAGGAACATACGGATGTGATTCTATGCTACATTATTTGTTTGTGGGGAGCACGACATAATTACACTGGAGAGAGTGCATTCGGACTGCATCGGCCATGCAATAATTGCATTCAACTGAGTTCGATGATCAGAAGCAGGTTGCATTGCTGGTGTACTGCCATGCAATTATATGATATCAACCAGTAATGATAGACATGCATTGCTGTGATACACTTGTGCAAAGCATAATTAATAGTATGTCTCGCGAGAAAGCCACCAAAACAGCTTTAGATCGTCACACGAAAAGCCATGCACCCTATGTTGTTTAAAATATGATTTCACATAAGATACTACTGATACAGCATGGGACTGTTGAAAACTTCAACATACCCTTTACAACGCATGAAAAATCTATACCTCGGTACAGTAGTATACTTTTTTTAACCAAGGCTTACATGAGAAGCAGGGTATTCCGAATACTCAATTTGAAAGAGCGGGCTTCCTTGCTCTATCATTAATTGTGTTAGGTTTGCGACGGAATGAAAACAAACAGAATGAAGCGCAATGCGGTGCCGGAAACGGTGGCCTAGTACATAAAACTGCTTGAAACGACGGTTCACTGTTTCTTGTCTTGCACGAATAGTAGCCAAGATTTTACGGTGTTCCCCTTCAACATCGCTTCCTAGAAGGCAGGTGGGATCTTAATAACCTTCATCTGCAACCACCTTCTCCCCGGCAGTAAGTGCAAACTTCATCGCAATTCGATGAATAGTAAGGTCTGGGTACAAGCCACAAGGAAAGGGGCCATGCGTCCAAACAATATGTCCGGTCAAAATACAAACAGCCACCTCATACCTCAATCCAGGGCCTCTGAACTTATGCGAGAACCACTGCGGACTGAATGGGTTTGGTTCGTATATGCGGAAGTCTGTACCGTCGACCGATACTTTGCGCGCATTACTACAATTACCAGCGAAGCGGTTTTCCAATTTGATCTTCATTGTCAGACGAATACAAGTGTCATGTACCATTAAAAGTATATAAGAAATGAGTGCATGCTTCAAGTTAGTGTCAACTTCCGGGATTAATAATGTGTTGCAGATTATCACGTACGATTTTTAGATCCGCAATTAAGTTGACGAAGCACCATTACCATTTCCGGAATGTTTTCACGTCGACCTGGGCAATCGTTCTATGGGTCTCCTCGCTCCCATACACTTTTAAAAATAGGAGAGCCCATAAAAGATGCACGGGCCTGGACGAGGTCGGGCGAAGGTGTCCTAATAGATACCAGGTATGAGAACATACGTTCGGTTTGATACCGAATAGTGCTCGAAAGCGGGAGCTCTCTGTCCGGACACTCAAGCCAGGACTGTTCCGTATCATCCCACCAGCAATTTCCGCCAAACGAGACGGGGAAATATGCATTCTTTCTGGACACGGCGTGGTTGCCGACAAGACCGGTCATGGAAGAGTCTGCGGGCTTCACCACCGACCAAATTTATATGGGATTACGAAGTTCGTTTGTATTGCATGAAGCGTCAAAAAAGCAGAAGGTACAAAAAATAATAAAGGATTCCGTGCTAAATATACAACTAAATTACTAATTTTAGCATCTCTGCAGCGTGCAAAAAGTACATCCGAAACTATCGTTTTTGCTTAACTTTACATGGCGAAAGTTTTTTCTCTTGGTACTTTGAGGCTACACCACTCCTTTATTATATTCTTGGGACAATCCCGTGCTCTACAGTTAACGCAAAAGCATTAAAAACAACTCAAGTTACCGCTGGAAGGACACTGAAGAGGCGAAAGTATCGTTTTTCCCCGATAGTATCGCTTAGTTTTGTGCAATTTTTAAGCAAAAGAAATATTTGGTTTCGAGTTGCTTCACATTTTCATAACGCGCTTGGGGTACTTCTCCAAACTTCTGCAAAAATGTAGGATCGAATGAACTCTACATGACTATAATCGGCACTGCGAAAAAGCTGTAATATTAAATTCCTCACTCCAAACGGTACTATTTACAACTGCAGTAAAACATTAAGGCACCCCAATTCTTTGTATTGTTGGATAAAATACGCTTCTGTGACGTGGCACATGACCTGTCATGCACATTTGGCCTTCCCGCCAACTTCATTTCCGGTACAGCGGCTTTGCTGCGAGATGGGATGCCGGGGTTTCCTCCGGGATGCTATGTTGGATTTGTCAGCGCGAGGCAATAGTTTTACCCTTTATAAGTAAACGTCATCTACTTACAAACTTGAGACTTCTCTCCCTCAACATTCCCTCGTCCTCATTGTTTTCAACCTACCAAGACAGCACCCCATTCTAACCTAAGTCTGTATTTTTTCCTCACGCCGCACCCTCTCTTACGAGCTCAGGGATCATGGTTTCTGTCGGACGTTTGACCAAGAATTCACTGGCTGTGCGCATGCTGCGTTCGAAGTTTGAGAAGGGGGAGGTCACCGGAGGTGAGTCACCGCAAGCTGTTTGGGAATCAGATGCGGTATTCCAAAAACACAAGCTGGGAAATTTTCGTACTTGCTACAACGCCATGCGTATAGAATTTGGAAGCAAACCAATCACGAGAGGTAAGCCTGACTGGGAGTGTGACATTTACATGTGATTTATGATTGATATGTTTAACATTCAGTTGTCAAACTAATTTTTCTGTATTGTAAGGGCGTTGGGGAAGATGAATCTCGCGACAGTGTGGCCCTTGACCGGCGTTGTAGTGCCACAGAGGGGCCTGGTTCTGCCTGTAAACGACGGGCGTCGACCGTATTTGTGGATGACGATGAGGAGAGTGAAGAGGAAGAAGTGAATACTGGCGCTGGCGCAGAGCTGACTGCGGGAGAACTAGCATTTAAGCCATTGTTCATGATCTCTAGGTGGATTGAACGATCTACATTGACTAAGCGTCTGTGCGTGGAGATTATCTTGCCATCTCGAGTCGGCTCTGGTGATTTTACAATTACAGTGGTAGATGGAGGGCATTTTTTACAACTTGCTGTACGATGGCCGAAGCCTCTTGTAGATGTTTTAATTATGCATCGTTGGAAACTATCTAATCCGAGCAGTGGGTTTATGCCCTACCATCCCTCAGTTATAGGATTCGAGTCAGCTTTAAGCGACCTCCGGAAGAGGAGTTCTGATGCTGTGGAGTCTATTGCGAGGATATCTTTACCGTTCGAGGTAATCACGCAGGTACTTTCGAAAAGCAACCTATCTTTCAAGGAGGGAGGTGGGACCAAAATGCTGTACGTTGACCTAAAGGCTGCGGCAGTGGATGAGTACGGTGTAGTGGCTGATACTGAGGAGTTTACTGAAGTACAAAAGAGCTCAACATGTTTAGAAATAGGTTGCGGTAGAGTATCGTTTGTTTGGAACTTGTATTGCCAAATATCGAGTTTTCCCGGATTCCCTAGTACCTCTCGTACTCGATGCCCGGCACCCCTCGTACACTATGCCCTATCAGGGCACTTCAATTTCAAATTTACTCCTAAACCGATAGTGTTGCGCACAGAAATGCTATATCCCTAGCGTTCATTTTTAATGATCACTACAGTGATCATTAATTTTGACGCTTTGTAGCTCACTTTTTACCCAGTGTTTCGAGCTATCAAAATGCATGTCCATAACGGCTAATCAGACGAGTCGACTCGCAAAGGATTGGCAGAAATCGGCCAAGTCTCACGGTTTCGCGATGCTTCCCAAGTGACACCTGGGGACCTCTCATTTTGGGCTAAGTCCACTGTAGTGATCATACACACATGTTCACTACAGTGATCACAAGGGCTCAAAAGCGGCCCTTTGAGGTGATTTTGCTACACATTTCGGACAACGGAGCCAAGCACTGCTCAGCCGTGCCATTGAAGCTGTACTTTCGGCGGTGAAGTAGTCGCTGGGGGCACAGAGCACGCGCACCGCAGCAGCAATGGCAACGCTGGATGAGCGACCGCGTCCGTGACGGTCGGAGTCCGCGCGTGCATTTATGGATGCGCCGGCCGTGCGGACGCCCGCTGCGAGGCGCGTCCGAAGCTTGCAACAGCACCCTGAACCAAGGACTTCCCGACAAAGGGATGGCAATTTACGTAGTGCTCTGGCATAATGAATAGACCAGAAGCTCCTCGACTGGTTAGATCC